CAGATAGATACTTACGTATAATCGTAATATACGTATATGTACGTATAATCATAGTAAATTCACACGCGCGCTTCAATATTTATATTATTAATCTGCCCCACTAAAAATCACGTCACTTTTAAATTTAAGGATAGAACCAACTTGTAGACTTAGCATATATTTCACATAAATATACTCACTTATTAAGCGCTACATTATTCATGAATATGACGAAAATTTGTATCTAGGGCAGCAGAACATTTTTACTAGAAGTCTTCTAAATGAGTAATGGAAAAATAGCGTTGCGCGGCTAAGTTGACGTCTGGCACTAGCGCCATCTAGTGTCGGGGACCAGAGCGAGGAGGGCTTCCTAGAAAATGTCAATCTTAAACTTTCCACCAATCTTAAACTTTCTACAATAATTTGCTTATATATGATATTTAAGGGATTCCCCCAAAATGTCGCGTTGTACGAATGTAGCTAAATGGTATTATTCCTCCGAAAGTTTGAGGGAAATCCCCGTCAAACATAAAGAGACAAAGGGTTTCCAGTTGAGAAATGTAAAATCGGCAGAAAATTCGGATGAATTTTTTTGTATTCTAGTTTCTAAATTTGAATCTAGTTGGTTCCTTATTTCCTATTTAGGTATTTCTTCTTCTTAATGTTCCACAAAATTTCAAAAGTATCGATACTTTACTCGATACCAGTATCGTATCAGATTTATCGATACCGAGAAAAGTATCGAAACAAAAGTATCGATATTGTTAGGTATCGAGTACTTTTAAAAAAAATCATTTTTAAAACTTCCGATTGAGTAATATCCGTAATATCAAATATTATCCGAGAAATTTCGGAACTTGAACTTATTTTCATTGAAATAGTTGATTTTGTTAATATCAATATGTAATAAAAATATTCAGTAAATAATATTATTTAATTTTGACAACTCCGCTATCATGACATTCGGTTAGTGTCAAAGACGACTATATTTACCAAGCTTAGGTTCAAATCAGTGTTGCCATTGTGGCTCTTTTAGAGCTAAATTCAGCTCTATTTACAATGAGTTAGCTCCAAAAAACATCATCATCTACTTGTACATAGATATACATAAGCAACTAACTTCGCAGCTACTACTCATCGACGGCAGCGCCACTATAAATTCTACAAATTTTCAAGGACAGGCGAGCTATGCTTTAGTACGTAGCGATCTTTCCATGATCAAAAGCGGCAATCTAGCAACTTTGTTTAAATATTATGGTGCCTTTGGATCGTGTTATGCTATGAGTTTATTGTTCATTGTCATTTGTTATAACCAGAAATCATAATGAAACATCCAATATAAAAATACTCGTATAAAAAGGAGAATATGCAGTTTTTCTTGGTTTACCAAAAATTTGGTTCAAACTACTTTGCCGTCTTTGATACTATACGACTCAATTGCGTCATCTATCATCATCTTATTACATCATTCGGCAATGTAGTGAAATGTAAGAATGTACGAAATGTGTGCCGCGATATCGCACACTTGAGTGAGTGGAGACTAGAGAGTCCAGAGCCCTGGGGAATCCCTGCTCTGATAGGTCTGGAAAATGAGAAGGTCAAAGGAAGGAAGAGGATGAATTTGTATAATATACCTCATGGCTATGACACATCATGCCTAAACAACTAAACATATTGCACGTTACTAGACTCGGCTGTGTGGGCATAGATGCCTTTGCCTTGTAATACTTTAAAAAAATACTACGATAAATATGTTTTATTTGAATGTATAAATGTTAAAAATTTCAAAAAATATTATTACTCGTATTTACCTATGGTATTTACTAAAACAGAAGTAATACGCGATTTTGGTTAGACCTTAATATATTTATCTACTGTTACAACAATAACTTTTAAGACTGCAAGGATTAATTAGATGGTATTGAAAATAAAATAAATGTTTATGAATATTCTGAAAATATAAATTCATAAGACTTAATATAGCACGTTATGTCTCCAGAATTTAAAATTTTTAATGCAACAGAACTGTGGCAAGTAAGTATTAGTTTAACTTATAATCTTGGAAACCCTCATTTGATTTCATTATTTTAAAGACGGATAATTTGCTTTTGCAGAAAGAAACTAGCTTGCCTTCAATTCCTACATTCTGTCAAAAAGTGGATAATATTTTGGGTAGCGACGGTGTTCCATTAGGCTCTCTTACTGAATTACTCGGTTTACCGGGAACAGGAAAAACACAAATGTGGTAAGCAAAATATATTTCCTAATTAATGTTTTTTTATGGTGTTTTATGTATACAGTGGACATCCAGCAGTGTTGCCAACAGTGTTTCCCATTAGATTTAACGGGACAGCGAGGTTGGCAATGGGAAAAAATTGTGTTTAACAACTAACGGATTTTTTAATGGGACAACAAAAATTTACGTTTTTTTAGATTTGTTTTCGAAATAAAAATAATTTGGAAATGGCAAAAATTAAATTATAATTGTATTAATTTTTTTGGTTTAAAAATACAAATAAATGTACAATACAATGAATGATTGACACTTGTCTACTGTACTTAATGGGATTTGATGGGATTATAGTGTTCTCTACAACGGTAGGTAGATTTTAATGTTGGCAACGCTGACCTCCAGTAATCTGGGCCCTATCTAATCTGGCACCTCCTGTAATCCAACATGGTCTATTATTTATTATTGAATATTTTTTTCACAATCTTCGCTAATGCATGATTGAACAAGTTATAACTTGTATGCTCCACCACTATTGTGGTAGACACATAGGTATTGTTTTGATTCTGATTGATTAGTTTGAATTTGACATAATGAAGTATGATTTGTACTTCAGAGTATATATATATATATATATTCATAACATATAGAAACTTGTCATTACATCTGTAATTTGTTGGATTACAAGGTACTGTTTTGTAAAAAAATCCGAACTATAGTTGCTCTTAGGCAGTACTCTTTAATCTGACAAATTCGATAGTCCGACACTGCCCTGCAAAATGTTTGTTGAATTACTTGGGTCTACTGTAATAGTGATATTATTACTATCTACTGTAATAATATCACTGAGCCTTCATCAATGATTTTAAACTTATGAAGCTGCCTTATGAAGGTTGCCGCTAAAGTCTAGAACAAAAGAATAGTAGACCAGCGGGTACTAGGAGCCGTTATTTTTAAATGCAGATCTTAGCAATATTAAGAAAATAAATATTTATCACAAGCGGAGCAAAAATTTATAATTTATTTTTTATTTTTCAGTTTACAATTATGTGCTTCTGTTCAAATCCCAAAAGCGCTTGGTGGATTGAATTCGGAAGCCTTATTTATTGATACCAATACAAATTTTGTGTTAGATAGATTCAGGGGTATATTTTTGTGTTTTTGTTTTGTATCTGCTACTTTTGTGGAATGTCATCTTTATTATCATTCTATACTTTGTGTTTATGTAATTTTCCATTTACAGAAATTCTGTCTGCTAGTTTATTGAAGTGCCAGAAGTTATTGAATTTGCCATTAAATGCAAACAATGAAGAAGCCTTAAAAAAACTGCACTATGTTAATGCATTTGGTTTAGAAAAGTTTTGTGCTTTGATGCATCAATTACCGAAACTTGTAGAAGAAAAAAACGTAAAGTATAAATTTTATCTTTATGAACTAAAGAAATATTTCAGTTTTAACTGCAACATTAAAAAAACATTATATATTTATATCGAAACTTGTTACTGTAAAGCAGGGGTGCCCATACGGTCGATCGCGAAGACTTTCAAAGTCGATCGTCGAGGAAAAATTTTTATGAAATGACCTTCAAAAAAGTATAAAGAATTATGAAGACTGTACCATAACATCTGAACCTACCCTTCGGTGCGGGGGCTCGCGGGCGGGGGAGTCGTTTGACGCGCGACGACGACAGCTACAGCAGGCAGTGCAGTGAGCGAATAAGCGTCATTCAGTGCAGTCACTTACGTACAGTCCTCGCGGCGTAAGCTGAGCTTTGCATTTGTGTGAGTGATCGCTAAAAGTACAGTTAGTAAAAAATCAATGTTTTATTAAAAGTTAATGCTGATATTTTGATTATCCTAAATTATAGTAATAACAGCAATAAACTACATAACAATATTATAACTCTTCTCCGCTCGTTGCACCTTCATCTTCACTCTCGTCTGATGACTCATCAGAGCCTGTGTTAATAATGAATCGCTCCGATAAACCGTCGATAGCGGCGTCTCGACCATCAAATGCTTTTTCTTCTTTAACTGCATGGTCACAAACATTTTTCCACTGTTGTACAGTGATCGCATCAACTTTTTCCTTTGTTAATCTCATTATAGTGTCCATATTCATTGGCACGTTCTTTTAGCTACGTATCCTTTTACCATTGCCCATATACTTTCAATAGGATTGAAATCAGGGTGGTAGGGTGGTAGACGTAGACCGCTGTGACCATGTTCTTGGAGCAAATTATCAATTTTATATTCAACAAATCTTGCTTTGGTTTGTAGTATCAACTGATAAAGTTGTGGTTTAAGCATCGATCCAGAGTGATCGATATTTCGATATTTGAGCCAATCAATCATAGCTTGTTTACGATGGTTTGAATTGGGCGCGGGATTTCGATACGAATTGTGGTATGATGCATTGTCAACCACCACAACACTATTCGGTTTTAAATTTGGAATTAGCTGCGTTTGCAACCATTTTGTGCAATTCTCGGTGTTCATATTATAATGATAGTCACCACTTTTTTGGTTTGCCTTGAACATGAGTAGGGCATTGGTATGAAACCGTCCTCTCCGCCGGCATGAACTATTATTAACCGATTTCCCTTAGAAATTGGTTTCTTTAACCAGAGGTGCTTTCATCTGAATAAGATTTCGACGAAGTGTGAGACATGTCTATATATGTTTCGTCAGTATAAACGATTGGGCGGCCCTGAGCGCGATATTCGGCAATTTTAATGAGAAACATTATTCGAAGATATCGTATAACATGTTTCTCCATAAGGATTCTGCGATTATCTTCCCCACTTGAATCCTAATAGAGATACTTCTTTTCTTAATGACGTAATTGCACCTGGATAATTTATTTCTGCCTTTAACTTTTCGTGTAATATTTTCATAGTGGGAACCTGTTTGTCGGTGATGTGAAAGTTATGAAGTATTCTCCGAATTACCGCTTTATCAAAATCGTCGATCACAATGGTAATTTTCCTGCATCTTGTTTTTTTCGGAGATATAAATTTGCCTCCATCTTCCAAAGCATATTTACCTTCTAATAAAACCTTTTTTACAGTTGACAGCGGAATTCCCGTCGATGTCGCTACCAATTGGACCGACGTAACGACACTTGACATATCCTTGTCGTTTAAATCTTTGAAATACGTATTCAATTTGTATAAAATTTCTTTTGTTTGACTGCTTAATGGTCGTTTAGTCAATTTACTTACAGTAGGAGCCATTTCACAAAAAATTCGAACACCACCACAAAAAATTACACGTCTATCTGCTATTCTGCTAGCGGTACCAGAGGTGAAGTGGGGAATGTGCGCGTCAGGGAAGCCACGCGTGGAGGATGCGCCGCGCCTCAGGCCGCGTTTTAAAAACCAGTATAAACTGCTTTAAACCATGCGTGGGACGCGCTGCGCCTCAAGCCGTATCCCACTGTTCACTATCTGTGTGCACTCACACAAATGCAAAGCTCAGCTTCCGCCGCGAGGACTGTATCACCGCCAAAGTTAACAACAAGATAGCAGCTAAAAGGCGACAAAATCGTAAATTGAAAATTAGGTAAGGTAAATAGAAAAAACTATTAATTACATCATTATAATGAGTTATTTTATAACTATGTATATACATATATATTATATATGATTTCTGCAACAAAATATTAATTGTTTGTGAAGAGATGCGATTATTGTCATATTTTTTTTGAAATTTTTAGCGTTCCTGGATACTAGTCCTTTAGAAACAAGTCAAAATTTTTATATATGTTTTTGCTGAAATCATATATACAACATAGTTATAATATATAATTCATGCCATCAGGCTCTTGAGTTGCTACACGTGTGTTTTTTATTGTTTGTAGACGGAGAACCGTAAATCCCTGAAACAATGAGTGGGCCGAAGAAATCCAAAACATATCACTTCAATCCTGAGTGGGGAGAAGAGTTTTTCTTCACTATGGTAAAAGAAAAAAGTGTATGTTTGATATGCCGATTTGCCATCGTCACACCAAAACGAGGTAATTTGGAGAGACATTATAAAACCATTCATAAAAAACATGAAGACAGCTTTCCACGTTACCGTGATATACGAAAATCTAAATTGGAAGATATTAAGCGTTATTTGGCTGGTGAACAAGCCATGTTTACAAAACCATTGGGGAAGTCCAAAGCGGCTACTATTGCATCATACAAAGTAAGCCACATTTTAGCTAAAAATAAGAAGCCATTTGATGATGGAGTGATGATAAAAGAATGCTTTCTCGAAGCAGCTGAGTCTTTGTTCGTGAATTTCAAAAACAAAGCTGAAATAATTTCAACCATTAAAGATATTCAACTATCCCGGTAAACCGTGACTAGACGTGTGAAAACAATAAGCCAGAACTTGGAAAGTCAAACTATGAATGATCTCGGAGACTGCTCTTACTTTTCACTCCAATTTGATGAATCCACAGATGCAACAGTGTATTTTCATACGCATGGTTTTTCCAGATATGACCGTTAAAGAAGACTTTCTAACGATGATACCGTTGAAAGAATGTACTCGAGGAGTAGATATCTATGATTCATTTGTGCTTCTTGTGTGTACTTTACACACAAGAAGCACAAATGCCGCGGTATAAACTTGTATGCATAACCACAGATGGAGCTCCAGCCATGACAGGCAACCATAACGGATTCATCGCACTGTGTCGAGCTAATGAAGAATTTCCGAGCTTTTTCGCCTTTCACTGTGTGATTCATCAACAAGCACTTTGTGGAAAAATATTAAACATGAAAGATGTCATGACGATAGCCTTCAAAGTAGCAAACTCCATCCGAGCGAGAAATTTGCAGCGGCGATTATTCAAAACCAACTGGAAAGCAGCGGATTCGAGCACACTAACTTACTTCTTCACACAGATGTAAGGTGGCTAAGTCGTGGAAGATTCCTTGCAAGATCTCATGAGTTACTGCCTGAAATAATAATATTTCTAGAAGCCAGAGGAGACGATGTTGAAGTGCTAAAAAATGGAAAATGGCAGAGCGATTTGGCTTTCTTAGTCGACATTACAAAGCACCTCAATGATATAAACCTGGAGTTGCAAGGAAAAGATAAAAATATTGTGGACATGATGTCCTCCATAAATGCTTTCAAGCATAAGTTGAAACAATTGAAGGAAGAAATTAAAAACAAAGACTGCAGGAACTTTCCAACCCTACTATTGCAACAAAACTCTGAAAATTTCGTGTCTAATGTAAACGAAGTGACAAAAATTCTGAGTGAATTTGAAAGACGCTTTGAAGATATTAATAAAATGGAGAATATTTTATCATTTCTGTCTTACCCATTTACCTGCACAAATGTTCATGAAATCTCTTCTAGCTGTAGCGACTATTTTAATATGGAATGTACTGCTCTTGAGGATGAAATGTTGAAGCTCATTTCGGATATAAATTTAAAAGCTAGAGCCGGCAACAGTGATTCTTATTCTTACTGGTCATCAATATCCGAAATAAAATATCCATTGATGAAATAAATTGCCCTACAAATAACTGCTTTCTTTGCATCAACATATCTGTGCGAGTCTGAAATGAAATTTTCGCATATGAAAATAATAAAATCGAAATATCGCACATGTCTAACAAATGACCACCTGACAGCCTGTTTGCGTTTAGCATTAACAGAAAACATCCCTAATTATGAAAATTTCGCGGAGGACCTCCAATGTCATGCTTCGACATCAACGTTATAATAATTTTTCTTTTTGATTACTTATCAGTAATATTTTTTATTATTTTTGTAGTGTTGGATGATTAAAAATTTAATAAACACCACTAATGCAGTTTTACTTCTAATTCTTTTTTGATAACTATTTCTCCTTCACGATGAACCGACGATCTGCAGGATCGCGCGCCTTCGATGAATGCAAAAAACGCAGACCGTTCATCACGTAAATCATTGACGGAGGCCTTTATGTCTAGCAGTGGTCAAAAGGCTGAAATGATGGTGTCATTATATTTTGGTTTTAGTTGGTGGGATGTATGTGATGTGGGTTTAAACGTCGATCTCCTAGTCAAATAATTTTGCTAGGTCGATCTCCCCAAGAAAAAGTATGGGCACCCATGTGTAAAGCATGCGGGATTAGCGCTGGACCTTGACCTCGCTCTCCGCAACACCTGACACGTTGTTGCATCATCTAGTACTTAGAAAATTTCCGGCATGCTTATGTTTTGACTATTTTGGTGAGAAAAAAAGTTTTTTGTTGTGATAAAAATGAGTGGCAGGTGATCTACTATTTGGACTTATTTTAGAGAAACTGACAACCAAAATAAAGTGAAATGTACTCATGTAATGTAATTTAATAATTTCTTTGTTTGATACCAAAAATATTTTATCAAGCTTTCTATATGCTGTAATTGGAAATAAGTCTATAGTGCCTTGAAAATATAACATTTCAAGTAGATTTAGCCCATAAATAAAATATACTTTCAACAGTAAAATTATGAAAAACATGGCATCACTCAATTCGTACATTACAATAAAGTGAAACTGAGTACCACTTATAAGAATATTTGGTGATTTACTTGAATATTCAGTAAAGCTACCGAATATGCCGAATACCGAATATGAAATGAATATTCGGCCCATCTCTACTATTTGTACTGGCTGTGCTTAGTGTGATTTAAAGCGAGTATAGTGGTTCTGCTTACACTTATAAATGAAACACATACGTTTGCTTTGTTGCTTTGCAGCTTGGGAAGTTGATAAAAAGTACTTACCTACCTTACCAAATTCTAAAGTAGTAAACAAGTTGGGGATATAGCCAACCTGTGTTGCTATCACCATGTATTTTATACGTGGTAGAGCCATGCTGCAGCTGTATTAGTAGTATATTTATAGCATGAATTGGTCTGCTCGACCTGGGAAGTGCTCTCACATAATACCAGCATAAAATAGCAGATACACGCTGCTGTGTTTCATATGGTGAGTGCAGACCACCGGAGCCCCTTTTTACCTTTTTTAGTCCTCACGTGTGACAATGCATCGGCATTTAAATTAATCGAGGATAGATGTAGGTGTCTATGGGCCACAGTAACCACTTACCATCAGATGGATTGTGTGCTCGTTTGTCACTCTATAAAAAACATGTGGCCTTTGACAACAGATATGACAATTGACTAGGCTTTATAATCAATATAACCATAAGAGGTTATTTTACTGCTCAACAATCTACTGGATCGTGTAGTCCCCTATGCCAGGTGATTACTATGTTGTACTGTGATTGTTTGCATTTTCCTCCTTGAGATAGAATTTATCCTTCAGACTTGCCAGCGCAAAGCCCTGGTCCCTATCTAATTGAGCAAATGTAAGGAGCTTAAAAGAAAAGTTTGGGCCACTCTGGTACACTAAATCACTTTAAATTAATTAATTGATTAAACCCGCCATGGCAGTAGAGTGGGAAGGCAATTAGATATATTGTTAAGATGTTATTAAAGCTCATTGTTAAACTGCGTCTAAGCAGTTGTGTGGGCAGATTAGGAAATATTTAGTAAAAATATTTTGTTTTTTAGTCATTAAATTAATTAATTTTTTTATAGCATTGGGTGACAAACGAGCCACCACCTGATGGTAAGTGCACATTTAGCCGCAATTGAGATTAAAAATGCAAATGCATTGTCACCCCTGAGAACTATGATGGAATGCCTCGATTCCAGTAAAGGTGGTATACGAAACACAGCAGCATTACGCTGCTATTTTACGTTGATATTCTGCGAAAGCGTGGCCCTGCCCGGTCGAACTGATCCATCCGTGCTACAACTATAATTTAGCTGCAGATGGCTCTAATTTAGTATAGTAAAATCTTTTCACTTTCTTTTTAGCCAACATCAAAAAAGAGGTGCTTCGTATTTCAACTACACTCTTTTTTGTATGTAGATATGTTACACTATATCTTCATAAATTTGTAACTCATATGTGATTATGATGATTGATTGTTGGTGTGATATAATGATTATTCAGATGACATTCGAGCTTGTGTTAATCCCAAGTGCGCTTAAAAGGTTAAAAAAATTAGACATTTAATGTAAAGTAAAAGCTGATTTTACTTTACATTAAATGTCTAATTTTAAGGCAGGAGATGGGCAGCAGCATCTTCCTGATAACAACTGTGACGTAATAAAAAACTGCGGTTGCCAACCCGCTCGCCAAGCGTGGCAACTATGGCAAATACCCCCCAATGAATAAATACACAAAC